TCAGAGTTGAGGAGTAAGCCGAAGAAGTGATTTATCTACTAGAGTGTTACATTCTCTTGTTACAAAGGTAATTTGAAGCAAAGAGATAAAATAGATAAATGAAAGTGTGTGATAACTAGCCAAAGTAAGTAAGCTGTTTCTATTAGATTTTGTAATTAAATATCAATGTACCTCACTTGATATCTTCATTATCAGTCAATTTGGTCAGCATTCATCATTATCTACGAAAACTAAATCTAGAATCAATTTAGTGTATCAAGAAGAGAAATAAATAATGAAAAAAATAAAAAAGCTTAAACTACGTAGAAAAATAAATCACTAGAACCGATGATTGAACCAAGAAACTTTTCATAAATATTGTCAATCAAACTGAATAACTGCAACATTCAATAGAACACACTGGAGGAAATATGATATCATGAGATCGATTCTGGGCGGGTGTGAATGTGGGTTATTTTGAACAATAGGCTCAAACATACTAACACCCACCCACACTATTTAGAAAAAATAAAACAATGCAAATTGAGATGCATAGAAAGAGAAATGGGTGTTAACTAATGTTTTCTTTTAGGTCTATCGTGGTTCGGAAACGAAATATCATCTGCAAGATTTAAAACCGAGCACATCTTATGTACTCCGTTTGTGCGCATGTTATGAAAGTGAAATTGGAAACACTACGATATTATCATTGATAACGTTAGATTCCGGTTCGTCTTATCTTTATATAATAATTTTTCAAATTAATAATTCTTTTCCGATTTTTCTCAGACTTAAACAATTGGACATTATCTATGTCCTCTTCATACGCACGATTAAATGTTGAAAATACTCGTGAATCATTGTTAGATGGGCAGATGACAACAGGTGTTGCAACTGCTGGAGGAATTAGCCAATCGATTAAAGCTACCTTTCCATACCCTGTTTCGGTAACAAGTGTAACAATTGCACCATTACATAAAAACCCTATTGTGTGGGATCCAAAATCCGGTAATTCTGGCACTTTACAGTATTCACAGGATAATAAACACTGGACAACCGTTGGAACTATCGCTTATGTTGAAATGCAGCAACAAAAAATTGAAATCGATAACATTACAGCTAAATACTGGAGATTACATCACAATGGGTATCTTGGCACAAGCAGCTTTCTATTCGAATAAGTATGATCTCAAACTAGCCTACTATTTATGGACACTAAATGTTGAACTTAAACCTTTTTGTCTTGTGTAAAATTCAATTTATTCAAAGAAATTTTGTGACATAATCAAAAACATCCATCAACTAACTTATTGCAAAAACAATACTTTGATACAGTTACAGCATAATAACATTTTATTTCGATAAAAATTAAGTTTCTTATCTAATGGAAAGCTTTGATACTTCAAAAATTCTGTTGAAGCAAAATTTCTAAAAAATTGACTAACAAACAATTGTCTATTTCTCGAAACTTCCGTGGATGTACAGATTTTATTTCATTGATTTCAAATATCAAGTCCTAAATGCATATCGATCTCTGTAAATTCCACGTCGGTGCCATTAATTTGCTTCTGACAAAAGTGCTTTTTCATTGAACTCAAAGCCTGATCTATCTATCATGTAAATATTGATGAATTACTCACAAGTATATTTATTTTTTCCAAAC